CCCCCCCCCCCCCCCATTGTCCATCCCTAGAGGAAACTGCTGGCTTATGTTCATGAAATTATGTTTTAGTTCAATGTGAGACTGGGTCTTATAATGTTAATATTAGAAATATAGACTGAAATTATATTACATTACATTGAGTGTCTAACTGAATTGGAGAGATATCAAATGTGGACAAAACAGTTGGTCTCTTTAGAGTACCTTATGTCAAAATTGAAGGGAATTCCTTTTTTAAGCATCTATAACTTCTGTTATCTTGCAGTGCATTTCTAGATTAAGTTAGTGACCATCTTGTTTCAGTGCGCTGGATAAGAATGAATACAATCACATCACAGCCACTTATTTCTTATTGGCTGAGAGAAAGCTGCGGCTGCACCGCCAAGAGCAGGCTCAGGCACAGCAGAGGCTGAGGTTAGGTCATTGTCTGCCAGAACTCTCACAAATGACAGGGTGAGTCTTGAAAGGAAGGTAGCTCATAGTACCACAGAGCTATTACAAAAACAAGAGCATTAGTTCAGACTCACATTTAGGGGAAAATTCAGTTTTATCTTCATCATTATTATCTCTCCCAGTAAGAGGTGCAGTTGTTTTACAGTGTTTCAAAACAAAATGGTTTCCTCTTTTATTTTTTTTAGCATCTTATTCCTCTTGGTTAATGATTTATACTTTTGTGGGGGGAAGATCATACATATAATGTTTTGTATGTAGTCTAATAGTTCATCTTCAGGTTAGAACACACGTACGAAACTTGTATATTTTTCCTGGTCAGTTTGATAAATTTTTTTCTGCAATAGAAAATACTGGAGTTTTTGAATACATGACACAGCAAATGATCACCACCAATTGCCCAGTATATTTATTTATTTCTCTGCTGTAAGAAGATGTGACAGTCTCTGAGCTGAAAAGAGTCACAGTCTGTGTACATTTATTATCCAGAACCATAATGTAATGCCCAAATAAATGTGTAAGGCTGCATATTAATGGTGTTTAGTGTTGCTCCCACCTTAGAAATTAACATGCCCCTGGTATCACTGATCTACAATGGCAAGATATTTATAACAAGCTTCATGACAATGAGTAAATTGTTCAGAAATTTTTAGTACATGTGTGGACATCATGATATAAAAGACTGCTCATCTACTATTTGGCATAATGTTGTTAAATAGCTTACAAACTCTCAAGGATCTTTATGACACCGTGCAGTACTCTTGTTGTGTTCCTGATGCTACATTATTTGTGTTTAGAAAACCATACACAAAGGTCGACTCTAACCAGCAGCAGGATTGTCCTTCTGCAGTTAATGAGACCTTGCTGAGTGTCAGGACACCAGGGGATGTTCCTCAGGTAAGTATTATAGTTTACACAGATGTCTGTATAGTTTTCTGGGATCATTACCATATTAAAATGGTATAAATTGTTTTGGAGAAAATTGCTGCCTCCTTCAAATTTGAAGTGATGGAAAGTTAATGTTCACCAGTTACAAATTGTGGTTGGTCTGGAATAAAGCTGTAATTTTTTTCCCCCCCCCCCCCCCCCCCCCAATTAGCAATTATTTGCTGACATCTGTGGCTGTACAAATATACATACCTCTAAGCATTATAGTCAAATTCAATATGGCAACATGCCATTTTGTTTGCATTGACTACACAGTCAACTTCCTGAAATATTCAGTTGGAAAAATATTGTATACCAGCAACATCTGTGTTTACAAATAAAACATAACTGGGGTCATCTATAGTGACTTGGGGATGGAGTTTAGTTTTCACTTGGGGTCACTAGTGTAAATAGCAACATTCCAAATCCAGATCATTACTAATGAACATGGTACTGGGAGGGGGTGTTGATTTTCTGTTCTGTGATGAAAGTGTTTTCTGCACACTTTGAGTAACTAACTTACCGTACACAAATACACTATATCTTGAATGTAATCACCAGACTGGCCACAGTAAGGAAGTGCACACATCCAGGTGCATACTGTATAATCATAGTCAGTCATGATTGTATGACATGGAGAACAGGACAGTGTGAAGTGTTGATGGAAAAAAAACATACAAAGAACACTATTTTGGTTCAAATCAGTAAAGTATTGCCAACTGGGTTCAAACCAGTAAAGTATTGCCAACTGTTTGTCCCTTTTATGAGGTAAACCCATTAGTTGTGGTCTTGGAGATATTATGAGTGGAAAAAAGAAAAGAGTTTCAATTTACTACCACCCAAACTTTTATGCCAATATTGGTGGGTTTATTTGTATCTTTTTTTATAAGGTAGGTAGGATGGTAACACAAGCATTTCCTGAAATATGTCTTATCTTAATTTCATCTTTAATCTTGTTTTGTTATTATTGTTGACATGTATTACAATGTTTAAACATTTCTAAATGATTTGCTTATAGCTTATAGTTGTATGATGACTTTACCACAGATTTTAGTTTCAACATCATCATGCCAAACTCCCTTATTTAGGTTGTTCAATTGAAGCTCTTTTTTTAACCAAAATGTTCACTCTGCGTTTTAGAATTATCGGGCACGCAAGTGCAGCATTGTCCAGGAAGAAGAGGATGAAGATGATATGAGCAGCTCAGGGCGTGAAGAACTCACTGCTCCACACAACTCGCTGAATCGTCGTGGATCACGTTCAGAGGGAAAGCTGAATATCGCATTACAAGAACGGCTAGCAGAGTCAGAGCGACGCAAGGAGAAGGCTGTGGCAACTTCGGTAGGCCAGAAGGCCACAACTCAGGCTACCACTGGGTCCCCAGGTGTTCTCAGGGTGGCTGCTAGAGATGATACAAGTTCTTCAACTATACCATCTTGGTCCCCTCCGGCAAGAAAGACCTCTGGCAGCATTTTGGATTTCAGACCCAAATCTGCAGTGGAGTCTACATCAAAAGCAAATGTTCCTGCAGCTTACATTCCTGGCAGTAACAAGTGGAAAATCACTCCAAAGCAGCCCAAACCCATGTTAAAGCCCCCCTCACTGCCAAGTGTGAGGGTCTCTTGTGTATCCAGTACATCCATCATCACAGAGTCTTCCACTATATCTATACCTGTCCACACACTGTCTGAGCCGGGGATGCCACTCCTTCCAAAATACAAAACAATGCCTTCTCCAACTCGACCCATGCACTCTGTTCTAAGCTCTCCGCAGTTAGCATTAAATGAAATCTTTGAAGAAGGAGACGGTGATGAAAATCTAGGGCCACGTCCAAATTCCAGAGTTGTGGGTCGCCAGCAGGGCCAGGGACGACCTGGAGGTTATGAACAACGTCGCAGCAAGTTTCACAAGACCAGGACAGCATCATGCAGTTCGTCTGATGCGAGTGATGATGACAGCGAGAGTAGGAAGAAGAGGGCTCACAAACTGGGTGAGACTGGAAAGTCATTGCCACAGCGTAGGGATTCACATGATGACTCTAGTGATTCACAAGATCCAGGGGGAAGTGGGGGGACAGGTGGGGGTGTTGGTGGAGGGGGAACACCTGCAGGTGGAACACAATGTGGGGGCAGGCCCCCAGTTGGCACAGGAGCTGGTGTGTCAGACAGTTCACGGACGTCTGGGGGAAATGGTAATGCAGGTAGCAGTGGTAAACGTCAGTGCAGTGAAACATCTCAACAGCCGTCCCTGAATCGACGGCACAGGACAGGGAGGCGCAGGGCTGGTGAGACACGGCTCCGTGAAAGTCAGTCCCTGAACAGAATTACTGAGGTTCAGGAAGCAGAGCAGTCTTGCCACTCATCTGTTGTGACATCCCGCTCAACTTCTAGTTCCTCCTCCTCTCCCAGGGTGCGTGGTTTTGGTGCAAGGCTTCTGCAGAGCTGGTCTCTAGCAGGATCCACAGCCAAAAGAGTGGCAGGTGGTGAGGTTAAGAGCAGCAATGTGCAGTCTGATGTGGCCTCTGTGTTGAACAGTACAGCACGACCACAAGCAGTTCCCAGATCCCCAAATACTTTGGAAACAAACTGTTGTACTGAAGAGAAAGAAAATTTCTGTCGTGCAGGTGTTTCAAAGAAAGCTTCTGCCATGACAGAAAAGCAGAAGAGTGGTGGCAGTAAAAAGGGACGCCTATTAGGGCGTTACTTTCAAGTACACAAGAAACTTTGCCTCCCGTTGCCAGGCTTATTCAATCGTGGACGTTTATATAAAGCTCAGTCTTGTGGTTCCATTGTTCGAGATCGTGTGGTACCACCATCTCCGGCTTCATTGCTGCTGTGCAGTGATGATAGATGGTGTCCCATAACCTCAGCTGGTGGTACCAAGATGGCAGTTGCTGATGATAATAGGCACATGGTAAGTAATGGCAATACGGGTGATATTAATCAGAATCTGGGGCTTGGTGATGCTGTGGTCATAGCAGATGGTATTATTCCTCTTGGTGCTGCATGTCCTGGGATCGGTATATGCCATATTCACCTGGGGGATGAATCCAAGTGCTGTAACCTCTGTTGACATGCAGCTTAACAAAACTTGAAATATGTTAAATTTGGCAGGTCGAAAATTTGGCATTGTATATCGTAATATAATTGTCTGAAATTTTAGAGATAGTATGTATATGCATATTCTTGTGCACCTATTGCTATAACATTTCTACCCCAGGTTTCTGAAGAAAAAAATTGAAGCTGAATCATTTGTTACATGTGTTTTGAATAAAGAACATTGCCTTTTATAATGTTGGTAGTACAGTCACTACATGCATATGTATGTGCACAGTGGAATCTTGTTATTTCACAAACTGAACTTGATAGCAGTTCTTTATAGTGTTATAACCCTTTGTAATTCAGTGATATCTTGCAGCTTGGGTTGCCAAGTCAGGTCCAACTCATACTGCATAAGATAAAACATGGTCCCTCAGATTCATATTTATTCTTACTGTAACTAGTTGTGAGCTACAATTTTGTGCCCTGTATTCATACTTTAGTTAGTTTTAATCCTAAAGTGGTACCTTAATTGACTTCAGTTGTAAGTCATAGTTATGGAAGTTCCTTGAAATTAATATCATAATCTGCATGTTCTGTATTTTTTCATTTAGTCATTAATTTATAAAAGATGTTTTATACACACTTATTTTTATTTTGGATGTTCTTGTCCAGTTTTATTGGAATTCAAACTAGTAGTTTTCTAATAATGTAATTTTACCTCTTTCTTGTTTAATATTTGGCAGGTTGTGTACTTGTGAAGATTGTGTGTTGTTTAAGGATATGTTGGTTCCAAATAATGTCACGGCAACAAACAGTTTAACTCTAATAGAACCAAGCTACAGAATTGCCAGGGTGTTTTGTAAAAGTAATGATCTCAAAACCCCAAATAAGGCAAAAGTACCAAATGTCATCAGGATTCCTGCTTCATATTTTGTAGGTACTGGGTTCAAATGCTGACACACAGACCAGTTACTTTAAATTTTTTATGGTTTTTCTTAGTCCCTCAAGGCAAATGGCAAGATAGAATTTTATAATTAAGCTTTGCCCAGTTCCACCAATTTATCATTCACTAATTATCCGATCATTTTATGCTGTATAGCAGTTGAAAGCATAATTATACAGAGTGATTGAAATGTCACACAGTTCATTTTGCGCTTGTTCTATTTATCAAAAAATAAATTACATTGAAATCAGAAAACAAATAATATTATATTGAATGTTGGAAGTGTTCACTGCATTCAGTGATGCATGCATTCACTCTTTTCCTCATATTTGAATGGTTTTTGTCCTGCACACTACCTGTTTCATGAAAGTGGTTCACCAGATGAGATATTTGTTTGGTACAGGAGAATCAGGAAATGTATCCCTAAACTCATTCTGGCAAGTTAAGTAAGATGCCAGGTAGTATTAAACGATCAACACTTTTTGCACTTGTGAAAAATATATCTTTGCATTTTGACTGTTTAAAGAGAACTGATAGATTGGTGCGAGCAGGTTTTAACATGATGTTACCTGCATGGGCTCTTGTATAGTCAGAGTGATATTGTGTGTTCATTAATCCATTCAAAGGACTCTGATTTGAAACTTTTCATATAAAATGCAGATTTTTCCACATGCTTCTCCCTGTCATATTTTCCTAAGTCTGTGACATGTTTGCTGTTTTGAAGAAATCCAATTCTGTTTCATTTGCACATCTTGTTTCAGCAATTTGTCAAAGATATCTGTATCAAACTGCACTTTTTGTTTCATTTGTGTCAGTTGAGAGATAATCAGTTGACTGTATTCTTAGCACAGTATGGTTAGATATATTTACATTGATTTTAATGTCACACTTTGTAAGATCCTGATGAACACCATTAATCTATATTTATTATCCCATTTTTATAAAATTTAAAGAATGTAAGTTTTTTGAAAACATTAAGAAGAACTGGGAGCCAGAATTTATAACTTAGGATATGTCAGTACAATTGTGTAGTGTATGTCTGAAACACTTGAGTTCTGAAAGTAAACTTTGATTTTGTTCTGTAGTGGTGGGGTACAACAGTCCATTTTGGTAAGTGAATGTATCAGAAGACAAAAATTATCGTGGATGATAATGTTTCACATGCTTGTTTCCAGGTTTTAATAATTTTTAGAGTAACTAATCTTTTATCGGCTGCATTTTAATGACTTCTTGTGTGCATTATTTTTTTATAAATACCACTATTACAGTCACGTGTTTGGTAGTTTTTATGTGGTAGGCATTCTGTACATGTATGACAGTAAATCAGATATTTGTAAGAATGGCCTCTCAGTATGAATGAACAAAACTAGATAGGAAAATTTCTTTGTCATTATATAAAGTACTGATCCTTGAAGGGTTGAATGACATGCCTGTTTCCACTTGGTTGAAGTAAGATAATTAATGTGTTACCTTTGTGTTATGTTGGCACAGTGTGTACATTTCTGCCATCTGTGAGAACTTTCAAGATTCATATATATGTCCAATAACAGAACCTTCTTTTTGGAACATGGTCATTAAAATATTTAAAACTGAAGGTGTCCACAGCTTGAGAATTACTGCCATAGAAATGTTGGTGTTCACAGCTTTTTCTTTGTGTTTGGTGCATGAATTTAATGAAATCCTAAAGAAAGTAAAAGTACAGATTCTTGCATAATTCCTTTCCCCTCTTATTTATAATGACATTTTATAAAATGCTATTCAGTTTAAAAGAAAGTCTTATAGTGCTGGTAATGCATTTTACACACAAAGTTTTCATTGCACTTCCAGTATTTCATCACCCTTCTGCCCTTTTCTCATTCTTTTGCCCCCCTCTATTTCTCCCCTCTCCCACCTCTGCCCTTGTTTTATTCTTTGTTATTTCGACCAAATATAGCAGTCAAATGATTAACATTACTGATTTCTATTCAGGATGCCCTGACTTTTATTCCTAGTATGGAGGCTGGCTGTCCTGGTAGGGTTTTTTTTCTGAGTCTCCCAGGGAGGTGCTGGAGTAGTACCAACAGAAAGGCCGAGATTTATTCCACATCTGCAGTTAATCATTCACAGGTCTTACCATGTGATACTATAATTAATGCAGTTTTAGAAATTATAACAAGGAAAAACCTGGTCTTTCCACTTCAATGTGTATCTCTTGCTTTTTCCAGTGATTCCTCTATACCAAAGTTCAGTGGTACCTGAAAGAGTAATTTGTGTGTTATTGTGTCTGCAGTGATCTTACAGACCTAACAGTAAAATAAGATTGGAAAAAGGCAGAGGGGAAATTATTTTTATCCTTCTTTTACAGGGAGAAAATGAACAGTAACTGCAGACAGAGGTTGGCAGCATTGTTGGAAGGGAAATAAGGGTTAAGTCAGAGCATTTATCAAAGTAAGAATTACTGAAAGTATCAGGCTACCACTAAGGAATGTTATCAGTCCATGTTTTATATAAAATTACAAATTTTAACTAATTTTATGTCCAAGAAATTATTAAAACAGTATTTTAAAACAGGCTCATATGTCTCCTATTTAATTTTTTACAATGATTATACCATACCTCATTTGATACTTAAAAACCTCCGGAGTTGGTGCAGCATTATAACACAACAAACCACCTTCATGTAGCAGCAGAACATTAAACTGTGAGACTAAGCCTGGTAAGTGTTGTATCTTTTTTGCTTTCTTACCAGAATAATAAATCTTTTATGACAAGAACAACTGTGTTGTGTAATTTGTAGAATGCTTGTTACATTGCCATTCGGGAAAGAAAATTAAGGTATGATTTTTTTTTATTTCTGAACTTAGTGTCTCAGAATTCTTTTTACACAATATTACTTAATTTTAAATCAGCCTTGCCTATGTTAATGAGAAACCATGGCTATGGCAACTGCTATAAATGATCCAGATGAGAAATTCTTAATGTTAAGGGTCAAAGAACTGAGGGCACAGTAAAAATTACTCCATGAGTTCTGTATGGTCCTGGTCAACCCACTTCAGAGTCCTTGGCAGTCTTGATTCAAGCTCTGATTTGCTTCTAGTTTACCTTGCCAACCTGCAGTGAACTAATTGCTCTTCTAGTCAAGTGGTAGGTAGAGTGGCACAAGGGTGCATTGCCATGTTGTGTGGAACTCATATGTGAATGAAAGAACTTCCTCTTCCCTCTGAGTTGTCTTAGAAGCAGATTAATATTTGTCATTCTAAGAGTGCTAGGTTCCAGTGACCACAGAGAATTAGGACTGTGTGCAAATGGTTAGCTATGTCATTATTCAGTTGTGATGGAGAAAATAATTCATGAAAATCATCATGTATTTCTTTTATGAACTTGTTCATTATAGTTACCTGTACTTCATTGTTAATATATAAAATATGTACCTCAGAGGTATACAGTATTAACTCACAATCATGTAAGTTTTTAGGTGATATGTTTCCCTATATTTTTTTGTCTGATAGGTGGTTAACACTGACTTCTTTCACCTTAAATTGTTGATTTCATATGTAGGCATCATTGCTTTTTGCACACTAGTATGAGGTGTAATCAGAAAGTAAATTCACAGTGCAGTATATTTTAAAGTGGTTAATTGAATCTTCAGTATTGATAGCACATTGTTATAATTTGTAAATTATTTTTCTGTGTGGGTATCATTGGAACTGAGGCACATATTATACTGGCATATTAGCTTTTCTATCCCCAGCCCTGTTCTTTCATTTTACTACATGTCATCAATTGTAAATCTGTGGCCTCCCAAATGTAGCTTCATCTGTTTGCTTGGTGCAACACCTGAGAAGCCAAAACTGATGATAATGTGAAAACATCAGTGAAATGTTGGTAGAAAGAATATGACACCTACTTTTGTTGATAGTGTGTTTCAAAAGCTCATCCTTTATTGTAACTGTTAAATATAGAGAAAAATTGTTCATAAGTTTGTAGTAACATAAAATCTGTACTGAAAATACATTAATCACTTTGAGATATGTATGCCTTGTGTAATTACTTTTAGATGGTAATTTGTAATCTTAGGAATTTGTTAAATAAGATTTGAAATAGAGTTACAGCTGTTAAATTCCAAAGCACAGAAATTACCCTATAAATTAAACTGAATTTTGTGCTTGTAATTATGGCTTTGACCGATTGTGACAAAATTCAGTTAGTAAACCTGGAATTACAAATGCTTAAAATAGGAGTGTATAATTCCTCTTTCATTAATGCCATCCAAAACTTGTCAAACTTCTGATGCATCACTTTACTGTACATAACTGTGTGCCTCATTTCATACACTTATTGAACCCATTGTATACCTTTCTACTTTGATACCAAGCACAGGAAGTTGTTATACTGTGGACTGATACACTGTAGCTTTCATGTCTTTGTAATATTTTACACTGGTTTACATTTTATAGCATGAATGTCCTTGCACTGTTCATCCCAGTATGAAATCATTGTTTTCTTATCTTTTCATTTTTTACCATTCCAGTCACATTTCATCTGTTGAATGTCTGTGTCAACAAGGATTTGTCAGAACTGGGGTGGTACTTAATGTTAAGATATATAAGATGAAAGTTAACAAGTTTCTTATATGAAAACACTGATTACATTGATCCACTATGATACATGCAACTCATTCTGGTGGTACAGATAAAAATAACACAGGCAGTGACAGGGAATACAGATATATCATTCCTGAACAATTAAAATTCAAAAACAATTTCACAAAATATGAATGGCAGGTTTGTGTATTCAGAATATCTGAAGGATGTTAGTGAAATGGTTGATCTGATAAGAGAATCTCATATATGAAAAGCCATAGCAAACTGACAAATAAAACAAAACATGAGTGAACCTCCTTGTCTGTAAAAATACTTTGCTGGCTATAGTGGGGTGGGGGGAGGTGTGTGTCAGAATGTGTTTCAGGACCTGATGAAGCTCACTAGACCAGGTTTCAAGATGAATGTGCATTTGGTAGAAGCAGGATAAGAGTACTCTGATGCATAAAATTTATATTTATATCCATGATGCAAGTTACAGATGTTAATGTATGCCCATGATTAACTTTACCAGTACACAACTGATTCTACATGTCTCTAATATTTTAAATAACCTTAAAGTTCACAAGATAGCAGTAACATATCCTTTAGGGCTGGCATGATTATTCAGTTACTTTCTTCATTGCTAATAATTTTCTTCAGTTCATTAAGGATCTCAGAATTGTGCCACCAGATTTTTATCTCCAAATTAAAGGTAATTGGTTTGGACTGTTACATACACCTGCTGTCACTATGTACTATAATTATAAATTTTAATGTCAACATCAAGGTGTTGACAATTCTTGTAGTGTTTAATTGGAAGCAACAATAAACAGTTTAAGCTTGAGCTATAAATGAGCATAATTATTGTTCATATTAAAGTTTCACTTTTTTGTTACTAAGTATAATATCCCTAACTAATTAATTTACTGATTAATCATGTTGTGTAAAATAAGTCATTGTTTAAAAGTATGAATCAGTTGCTAGGCTTGTTATACATTCTCTTCAATCACACAGTTTTATCTGTTTAAGCAGGATGGAAGTTAGTGACATATCGATACAATCCTCTCGCTTTCCCCCTCTCCCCAGCTACCACCACTGTTGCCTGTTTTAATATTACAATAAACTGTAGTCATATAATGTTTTAAATGTTGCGTGTACTGCATCACATCTCATTAGATGACTGGGAATGATAATCAAAATAGTGTACTATGCAGTTTAGAAATAAGTGCTTGCTAATGGTTGTGCATAAATGTCATGTTGGCTGCATTTGTAAGATGCAAGCTGCATTAATAAGTCATGTCATATTTTGTATGGCTGTGTCCAGTTTCCAAATTTGTAACACACTTGGTTTGTAGATTTTGTTATGTCTTCCATTTATGTGTGAGTTCTCAAAATTGTAAAGCATTTATGTAGGTGAGTGTGTAATCTGGTACACCACTAAAATATTGGTAGATTTAACCCTTTCTACTCTTATGTTGATAATGCAGATGCATATTGGCAAAATGGCAGTTTGTGTTCAGGTGCCATGTGTCGGTGAAAGTCTGAACTCTGATATCTTCATATAGAAGTAATTTCTGTTGAAATGGAAAGTGTTGAGTTGGAATGGAAAGGGTTAGATGTACTTTCAATAGTTTTTATATTGTTGGGTTGTAACAGTGTTTTGTGTATATACCACTGCAGCCCTTTGCATCAGCAAGCCATTGTTGTGTTTTATTAGTTGGCTTACCATGGTGTTGTTATGCTCAATTTATAGGAATTAAGTATTTTCATTGTTTTAAAATTATTTTGGGACCATCCATGAATAATTTAACATGTAGCTAGTAAGCTACACATGTGGTCTCTGTTTATATCCCTGACTTGTATGCTATCTCACCGTATACCAAAGCCAAATAGAAATAAATTATTAATAATAATTTGTTGTCATTGTGTATCAAGTTTATCATAGAAATAAAGAGCTTTAGATAATTGTGTTGTACATGTATAGTACTAACCATATACATATATAACTGTATTATGTATATATATAATTACATTATTATGTATTGTTTAATTGTTACATAAAGATCCAACTCAAGAATGTTTCAGGATGGAGTGTTAAGATAAATGTAACCCATACCAAAATATTACTTTAATGTTATGCTCCTCTTCCAAGCATATATTTTTCGTACATGGCTATTTTGATTATTTGTTTTCTTACTTTTCAAAGTGTATAATATGTGCAATAACAAACTGAAAAAGGCTGGTGTGGGAAGTATTATGGTAAGATTTTGTTTAGGTTTAACTTGCAAATCATTCAGTTGGTAAAGGAACATTTATACATGCATGTGTTTGGAAGTAGTGCAGTTAATATTATGATGGACTTGGGTGCTTTTATAATTTGTAAAACAGTTTCAGTTAATTTATTCAGTGATACCCAATTTAAAAATGAATTCTCTGGGCCCCGCATATTGATCTTATTTGCTGCCAGCCCTAGTGTTTGGCTATGCAACAACTGTCAGACTATATCATAAAAAACAAATAAGTGATTTCTGCATCCAATATAAGGGTGCAAATTACTGAAGATTGGTTGCTTTGCATGATAATAAAATCTCATATGAATTACATGAAATGAAATCAGCCACTATACATGAGGCAGATCAAATTATGGTGGGTCTAGCAGAAGCTGGTTCATTGGTTCAGTTATTTCCCTGGCAGAAAAATTAAATATGGTTGCAAGGGTGAAGAGCATAAGTTCTTCCATCTACCCTTGATATATAGCCCAGATTGTTATAGATTTTGGTTTATTTAACCCTTACAAGCCTATGGTAATTATATGTCCTACCTGTTTCAGCAGTCAGTAAGTCTGGATTTTGGTTTATGCATTTCATATGATTCACAGTGCAAACGGAGATTGTTTGCTAAGGCGTAGCTAACAAGTTGATCTTTGTAATGGTGAAATTTTGTGTTTTCTTTGCGGTACAGACTGAATTTGTAAATATTATTTAGTCAGACTTCACCTTCTGTTGGTTAATTATATTGTATAATTTATGATGATTATGTAGCATTTCATGACAGATGGCATGATTATGGATGAAAATGACTGCTTTCTCTTCCCCCTCCCCCATTTCAATCCCTTTGATAGTACCTGAACACTTTCAAGCCATATGATGGACTCAGCGTGACAGTTTAAAAAAAAATTGTCCTGATAGTTTGCCATATTTGTTACATAGTTGAACCTCAGCAGAAGGCCCTATGTTGGTCTCATTCTAATATTTGGGTAACAGTAACAGTTTAATATAAAATAAATTCAAAAAATTAATTTTATCTGGTGGTATGTTATCAGAAGTAATAGGACACTGCTTATGGCTGCACGTGTTATACATAACTGTCAGTTCTCAGTAGTGATGCTAGATGACAGAATGTTCAGTTTTACAAA